CCACGAGAAATACGTTCCTTCTTTTAGCCGTTCAAATTGCACAAACTGGACAGTGGTCCCGGAACCGAAATCAAACTTCATCGAGATGAGGCACTAAAATACTATCGAAGCATGCAAACGATCCGTAGGATGGAAACTACTGCTAGTAACCTGTACAAAGAGAAGCAGATTCGAGGATTTTGTCATTTGTATTCCGGCCAGGTAGGATGGCAGCTAGTGTTAGCGATTAACAACGCCTGTTGTATTGTGTGCGAACTAGCGAACTTAGGAAGCATGCTCCGTGGGAATGAGAGCCGGCATGCGAGACGATGATGCAGTGATTACAGCATACCGATGTCACGGCTGGTCTTACATGATGGGCGTGCCGGTGAAGCGAATACTTGCTGAACTGGCCGGTAAAAGTCTAGACGTACGCTTTGTTCTTGTCAGTTTATTTGCTACTCACAGGAAGATATACTGGCATGAGCCGCGGAAAGGGCGGATCTATGCATATATACAACAGCGCATCGAATTTTTATGGCGGATGCGGAATAGTCGGAGCGCAGGTGCGAAAGTATACACTACGTGTGTCAAGTGTCATTGTTGCCAACATATATAACTCCTAGGTACCGGTAGGTGCGGGAATCGCATTTGCTTTCAAATACCGCAAAGAAGATCGAGTGTGCATTACGTTGTACGGTGACGGGGCGGCTAACCAGGGGCAATTTTTTGAAGGTATTCGTTGTGCACTTGTTACATTGGTTTCGCGGTTTAAGGCGAAGCAGTAGTTAAACAAGCTTAATGAAAATAATCATGAGTGGCTGTTGCAGTACTCGTTACGTAAGAAATTTGTTGTACAAACAAGTAGTGTTTGAACTCCGAAGTTTTATATAATTGTGCCATACAGCGAATAGATCCAATTTTTATTTGCGCATAATCGCCTGGGACCGTTGCTCCAGTGAGAAAAATGTCCCCAGACCACCGCGTTTACGAGACGGGTCGAAACCATGATATGGTAGCTTGAGTTCATATGTCTTTTGGTTAGTTGTCTTTTTACATGTATGGAGTTAAGGAGGCGTGGAGCACGACGGAGCAGATACGTACGTCGATATAAGCAGTTGTCTTCTTATGAATCAGAAGCCTTCATTGGCTTTTATAGAAGTGAGCTCATTTGCGGGCTAGCTGAACAATGGCAGTCGTTTCCCGGCCATTAGATATTTATGACCACCAGGCTGAATTTTATGATAAACCACCAAAGCCTCTTTGGCCGACCGTTTCATAATACACTACAGACCTTACGTCTACCGTAGCGACTACAAAAAACAGACAGACCCCACCGTAGTTTACCTAGCAGTTCCTTACCTTGATTGTTGTGCGCTCTCTGTGATAATAGTATTAGGATGGTTTTTAGGGAGCAAATGCGTTTTCACCTTGCATCTCTATGTTTTAGTATTCTAGAAAACAGTGAAACTATTATGAAAAAAATGAGTATTTATCTGTTATCAATGGCATAATATGTTCACATCATTTCTGAGTTCATTGCGTATCCCGGTGGTTAACTTCTGCTGCTCAAGCGTTTTGCGCCGCCATTTTAATATCACGAAACAGTCTCTCAGCGCTTACAGTAGCTTTGTAATCATGCGAAATAAACTTTTTTCTTCCGTTCTGTGACGATGGTCATGGTTTCCGTTTTGTAATGATTCACTTAATGTTCCAGTACTGGGTAGCTGTTGGTAACAATTGCCTACAAATTCGCGACGCTGCATTTCTACCGGAAAATTGATGCTTAATAGGATAGCTTCTTGGCACCATTCAGTTACACCGCCAGATAAATTTTGATGTTCCATTCGTTGCTTCATTATTTTCGGGATCCGGCGGTTGGTAATGATGACAACTGGGTTTCTGTCTGCATAATCTTTGTGACTAAATGCCATATCATTTTTGGCTTTTCCGCCGAAATCTTCCACAGATTCTCATTCATTGGAAGTACCGCAATGATGGTTTCGGTTTCCTCTTTCTTTCATTCCGATTGATTTATCCGAAATGTTGTGATCAGCAGACCCGCTATCTGTGGTAACTGACTGGTCAGATAGATCGTGCAACCGTTTTTCTTAGGATCCTTGCTGAATGGTATTTGTAATGTCAAGATATCTTGCGCACCTGGATTATGCAAATGACATTGTTTTGGTGAATAGCATAGAGAACGGACGCTGTCACCTACGGCTTCCGTTTGTGATATGGTAGCGAAAGAAGGTCTCGTCTTCAGTATCCAGAAGTGTAACTTTATAAAAACCCATCCGATACGGCTGATCTACTAGATGATCAGAAATGGAGGCTATGGATGAAGTCGACCAGTTCAGTTATCTCGACTCAGTTATCTTCGGCGGTGGTACCATCCTATAAGAATTAAATAGGAGGATTGCCCTTGTATCTAGTGTTTTTAGTAATCTGTCGAATATTTGGGATGAGCAAGGGGTAGCGCTTTCCACAGAAGTTCGCCTTAACTGTTCCTTTGTCAGGTCAACGTTATTTCATGGCATGGGCACAGCTTCTCTAACAAAAGAGCATGGACGATGGTTGAACTGTGTACACCTATGTTGGTTTGACACATAATGATAGTTAAGTGGCAGGACCATGTAAAAAATGGCTCCATTCTCTTTCAGGCACAGGTGACTTCAATTTACGTGAAGATTAATAAAAGTAGGTTAGCTTTGTTCGATAAACTGGTTGAGCAGAAGCTATCTACCCAACCCCGCGACCTTGTCGTGTTGGAGCTGAAATGCGGCAGACATCGGCCAGTTGGCCATTATGCTACATTGAGGAACAAGGTATAGACATATCTGCTTTCGGAGAGGAATATCTCCTGAAGTAACCTTCTGCAAAGTTTTGACTTGAGTCTGTTGTATATCTCAGTATCTGCATTTCTCTGATCTGAACTGTTCAATTTAAGGACGTGTTTCTTACAGCTATTTGTTTCGATGACTTGGTCTTAAATGACCACAAAAATTATTAATTTCTAAGAAAGAGGTCGTCTTTCCACGCCAGCATCGTACGAAACCGTCCATGGACGGGTATCGCGCTTCGCGCTGCATTCCACTGGCCTGAACTGAATCGATTTGTTCGCCGTGGATCGATACTACCAGTATTAGATTATGCAGATCTTGTCAGAGGCAGTCCTTCGAGTTGAGTCGCGTTCTAACCGATTCGGTAGATTAGAGCAGAAAACAGATACTGGAGATACTAAAGAAGAGAAATAACGAATGGAGGCGACAACGAATGAACCCCAGCGGTCGTAATTATTAGAAGGTGGCCAACCTTATGATGAGCATAACAGCTGGCGAACTGAACTCAGGGCAGTCTTCAAAGCAGTTTTTCTAAAGGTTATGATCAGAAAAGGGAGGATTATATTAATGAAAAGTAACACCGGCTTATTAGCAAACGGCTATTTTTCGACGCCGTCAGTAGTAGCCATCTGTCATTTTTGGAGAAGTGTTAGCAGATTGAGAATTACTCGATTACCCTGTACAAATCCGATAAAACCATGGAGGTATGTCTGCATTTAGCCACAGTTTGTTTTTGATATATCTCGGATAAACATCTGTCTTGCGCAATTGTACTATGATTGTTTTTCTTTGTTGACTGTAATTTCTCGATAATTATAATTATATTCATTGTGATAATGCATTAAGAGACGTAACTTCACCAACCAGGGTAAGCCATTTAAGCAAGCTACGATTCCTTAGTTATTCAACACCTGCAGTACATAGAGTAGTACATTTCCCATCATTATGTCGATTACAGCAATACCTTAGTTTGGTACCCCTGATATATTATAGGTTTTGGGATTCTTTGTTTGCTTTCACATCAGCATCAGCAATATAGGTGTATACGCCTGAAGTGTTCTAATATGTGCATAGCTGTATCACACTGAATTTCGTGATGAGTAGTACAGTCAACTGTGGTTATTTAAATTTACTATTTGAAATGACAGTTTGTCTGTTGTCAAATCAGGTTTTGTGAAATTTTCATCTTAATTTGTGGGGTCGACATGTCTAAAATACCTTTACATATTTCAGTTGGACACTGGAAGATTTCATTACAGCCTACTCCAACAGAATTTTTGAGTTATTGGTTGAAGCTTTTTTTAATAAATTTTACTATTTAAGCCACAAACATGGCGAAATTGTGGAACCTGCCGTGCATCTTTGTCTGCGAAAATAATGGTTATGGTATGGGCACCTCGGCAAAACGTTCGTCAGCTTCAACCGAGTACTATGCTCGCGGCGATTACGTGCCAGGAATATGGGTAATGGAATTTTACAGTTCACGCATTTGAGCCATGTTGTTCAGGTAAATGCAATGGACGTACTTGCGGTAAAAGAAGCAACGCTATGGGCTGCTGATTACTGTCGCAAGGGCAACGGTCCGATTGTCATTGAAATGGCAACGTACCGGTATTTCGGTCATAGCATGAGCGACCCAGGCACAAGGTAACATATAATTTTACATCTGATTCGTTCTGGTATTAAGCCATTGCTTTCAGCTATCGAACGCGTGAAGAAATTCAGCAGGTTCGCAAATCCCGGGACTGCATCACCGGATTTAAGGACAAAATATTGTCGGTCAATCTCACAACAGAAGATGAACTAAAGGTCTGTTTTTGTTTCTGCCCTTATTTTAAACTTGCATGGGGCTTAGATTAGAATCTCAAATTTGTCCAGTGCTCATTGGTTGGACGGCGTGCTACTTTTCTTTTTTGTTTCTTTCTTATTTCAGAAGTATTAGTAT